ACTTTCATCCTGTAAATAATTTAATTATGATATTCAAAATATATATATTTTTTAATGTATGTTTAAAAATTTTATTTAAATTATATTACTTAGGCAAAACTCGATAGTCGGGTTTAATACTGGAAGAAATGGTGACATTCGCTTGTAATTTTGGTATTAAATGATTTTCAGATTCTTTTCGTCTTCTTATGTCTCGCCAGTCATCACCTGTTAAAAATTATTTTTCATTCCAATGTAATTTACAAATAATAACAGAGAGACTAATTTCCTTTTTTTTTTGTTTAGTTTAAAGATAATAAAGGAAAAAATTCCTCACCTGTGTGACAAAGAAGGACTTGGCCATCTGAAAACACCATATGGAGTCTATCAAAAAGTAATTCCTCCAATTCCATGAGTGTCGCATCTTCCAATTGTGTGTCAGCTGCTTGTAATTCAGTTTTCAACGTCATTCTTCCAGTATCGAGAAGAAGTACGTATCCCTCTCTATAATTACAATTTCTATTAAATTACCTATATAAATTAAATATCAATAATAATAATATAGTATAATAATAACAAGTGACAAAAATGTTACATACTTTTGTAAGGATCCATGTTGTGGAAAAACAATATAAGGTCCTTTCACGTCAACTTTTAAATTAATTCTCAATTGTCGACTTAAAATTCGATGCAGTAACTTTTCAATTTTATTTTTCATTCTTGAACACATTTTGTACGTAGATGATGTTGCTTCTTTAATTTGAGCGTCGTTGATTTTAAAAAAATTAATTATTTCCGACACCGAATACTGAAAATAATTTTTTTTTTAAATCTATAAAATTTAGTCGTTTCAAACAAAAAATAACAATATAAATAATTCGAAATTAATAATTAATTATTATATGAAAATAATAGTTTTATTTTTATAGATTAAAAATAATTTCAATGAAAAAAAAAAGAATAATTAAATTTATTTTATTGTAAAATAATTGACAGTGACAATATTAGAATGATAAAATATATTTTTTTGAATTTTATGTCTTACATGGTGATAAGTTACTTCGATGGGTTCCAAAGACACGGATATATCGTAATTGAAATCTGAATTTAATGGTTTCTTTTCGAAATCTATGGACAGAAAATTCGGTGCTGCGCTTCCTGAAATAAAATTTACAATATTCTTAATTATTAATTCTCTTTAAAATCTTGTGACCATCTTAGTTTTCATTTTAGTTTTTGAGATATTCAATTTCTTACAAATTGTCTCGAGATTTTAAACTCGGACAATTATTTTTAATCATATTTTCAGATTTAAAATTTAAAATACCTGTTAAGACATTATCAGCTGTTACTAAAGGAACCAATTCATTCTCAGAAGAAACGCCCTCAATAACAATACTTTCAGCTCGGGTAGAAATTTTATAAGTTGATAATTCAGGATGTTTTTCTATACTAGCCAAAAATTGAGTCATTGATAAAACTAATATTTCTTTGTCGTTGTTTAAAAGACTCAGAGAATAATTTGCTAATGTGAAATTGTACTTGTGATCTGAAATTGATATAAGAAAAGAAAATTACATTTTTTAATAGGAAAATAATTTTTCTTTTTTTTCTAAATTTACTGAAATTATTATATACCTAATGGCTTGGTTATTTTATCGCCTTTTCCTTTTCCATCTAAATCGTTGCAATTGAATCCAAAATACTTTCCATTTTTCTGATCATTATCTTGTGTTTTTATTTCATTTCTTACAATTAATCTAACGGCAGATTCTTCAGCTTCTATGGAAATGAGATCAGGATTTTTATTTTTCATTTCGATTTTTGCATGTTCACGTGCTATCACAATATTTAGAATTGATAATGTGTCTTCGTATTTTTGTAAATCCATTTTTAATTCCGTGTCATTTGGCTTTAAAAGATGTTGCATATAAACTTCCTTGTAACGTTTGTAATTTGCTCTGTGTGCTTGAATTCTTCTCCACGTGTAGGGTCGAACATTTTGCTCGATAACAATACAATGCATATATTTCCACCAGGCTTTCGCGTTTCCCTTTATCGCGCAATTTGGATGATATTTTTTATGATGTCTGAGAATGTAAAAATTAAATATTTAAGTAATGCGTTTCTTATTATTACAATTAAATTAAAATATAGCAATAAAAATATTTATTTAGAGAAAATAAAGCTCTTTACAATTTAAATTGTTTTTATTAAAAAATAATTAAATTTGTCTAACATTATATAAGAGAAATTTGACAGATGATAGAATATTCAAAAAAAAATTTAATTGGAAATTGACAGATACTAACCTACTTATAGTTGCTCGATGTAGAGAATCGTAAAGTCTTAGGAACGTAATGTATTGATCTTTTGAAATTTGCATTGCAACATCTTGCAGAACAATGTCAACTAACATTCTAGAATCTCTAGTTTCCGTAGCTTTACTGATGATTATTTTTATCTTTGTTGTAAGTGGTTTTACCACTTGAAAAAAAAGGAATATTAGTATTTATTTTATTGACTTAGTTTACGTGCAACAATCTGCCAAAATTCAATGCCAAAAATTGAACAGATTTTTACATTTCTTTTTTTTATTACATGACTCTTAACAATAAGAAAAAGTTTATTTTCTATAAAAAAACAAATTGTCTATAAAAGCAAAAAAGTTTTTCTTTCATTCAATTAATTTATATTTATTACTATTTTTATTAATCTTTGAAAAAAATTTAATTATTATGTTCTTTCTTTGAAATTATTGCAATAATTTCAACAATTTAACTTCTCACTGAGAAGCCTGGGTGAAAATATTCAAATTAAATTAGAATTAAATTTAGTTTGGAATTGAATTGTTTAAATGTAATATTTAAAAGTAACTTACAAAATTGAAATTCCTGATCGTTTAAACCAAATTTTTGAAGAGATCGTCGCATTGTATCTTTCCAATCGACAATTGATTCAAAATCCCAAAATGCAGGATTATTTCGTAATGCACATTCCGATTGAGGATCCATGTAGACGCAAAATGATTCGACTCTTATTAATTGATAAATGGTTGTTGAATTCGTTGGAGTGACGCCGGGTTTCCATTTACTGAAAATAATTTATACATAATAATTTACTACTATCATTATTATGTTATAATTAAATTTAAAAAAAAAATTGAAATATTACTTATTTGTAGTGGCCATTGTTAGGCTTTGCATACAAATTCCACAAGCACTCTGTACTTTGTTAGCGAATCTCTCCTCATATCTCACGTGCACATTATTCACAGTGATTTGAAAATTTTTTACAAGTGACGATAAAAAATTATCGAAAATCCCAGAAGGAAAGCCTAAAAAAACAAACATCATTTATATAGAACATTCATTTTGACTTTTTTAAGAAATAAAAAAAAATAGTTATATTCGAAATATAAATTTGGAAATATTATCGATTTTGAAAATTTTTATTTAAAGTATTAAAATGAATTAAGAATTAATTAATTTATTAAAACATACCTGGACCCAAAAATGCTTCCCTCTCGAGATCTTCCAATATTTTTTTCTTCGTTGCTCTTATCAATCGCTTGTGCATTTCGGAATCGTAATTTCCAAATACTTCGGAAACTGCTACTATATATACGTCCTGAAAAATTAATTAACAAACAATTGATCAACAATAATGATTAACAAGTAATCTGTAATAATTTAACAATAATTTATTACTATTGTAATTATTATTATTATTTTATTACTATTCTAATGATGATTATAATTAAATGTTTCATTTTTAAATATAAATATTTTATTTATTCAAATAGTGATAACATATTGAAGGAATTTGTATTCAATTTTTTATCATTTGTTTCACATTCTCACGTGAAAAAATAATCAGTGTTTTTATTAATGCAAAAGCATTATACTTTTTGATCGATAACTCTGTAAAAGTTGCGAGATCATTTTTTAAATGACAGATGGAATGATGAAAAAATACAAAAAATGAAAAAAATCATATCCCTGATGAGTGTAAATGAAAAATTGGCATTTTTCTTTGAATATTATTTTTTTTAAAACTTACCTCGACACAGAGGATAATTGGTTGTGAAAATAATCCAGCCCATGGTATTTTTAATGATATTTTTCCTATTAATCCAAGTTCAACTCTAATTGGTAGGCCAAGTTGATACTAAAAACGCATAAACATTTACTTTTATTTGAATAATAAAAATCAATTATTTTTTTTTTAATTTCTGAAATAAAAAGGAAAAATATTTACCAAAGCTTCTGGTTTCAGTCTTAGATCTGTAAGGTATGTGTCGCCAGAAAAAATTCCTACATTAAAATCCTCTGTGTCCAAGTCCTCGACATATTTACCGAGAAATCGATTAAGAATCGCGGCTACTGCTCCTTCGAACATTGTTATTTTTTTTTTTTTTTATTATAATTAAATTTTACTTTTAATTTAATTAGGGATGACAAAACTGAAATCGAATTTTGATCTAACTATCTACTATATCTCCCTTTTGATTATAACCTCATTGAATCCTTAGCTGCGAATATTGTAACAATGCGCACATGCGCGAGGAACAACATTACTTTATTGATCTTTTATTTTACAAATGACAAATAAAGACACACGATACTAAAAAAAAGGGATGTCATCTCGAAAACATTGTATAGGGTCTTAAAGAAAATTAATTCGCCCCCCATAGAGTTGATTTGTCACGTTCACTCCATCTGTCAAAATGTCATTTTGTAAACAACAATCATTTTTTACATTTAATTTATAATCAAATGTCAACTATTGATTATAATACATGAATATCAAATGATTTTCAATTGTTTTTAATTATTTTTCTTTTTTCTTGTCTATCAATACTTTAATGTTCATTTAAAAACAAATTAAAAATTCAACTCTTAGAAATGTTGGTTTTATAAAGTACAAAATTTTAAAAAGTTCCCGGCTCGTCGTCTGCTAAAATTGTATGCAACGCCATCTACAATAAACGTGTATGTGTGTATATGAATACTAAAATATTCTACGTGTGTGTATGTATGTAATGTGACATGCACTAAACTTAACCTTTACGCCGAATTTTTTCTTATTATTAACGTTTTTCATGGGTAATTAGTTTTTAATTCATTATAAAATGTTGTCACGTATGTCATTTAATGTTGCCGCTAAAAATGTTACTAAATCACAATATTTCATTAAGGTAAGTCATATTTTTTAAATTACTACAAATTTATTTATTTAATTCTAGAGGATTATTATGAAATTGATTGTGTATTAATCATAAGTTTTAAAAGGTATATTAGATTAACAATTATTTCTTATTTGCATTTATTTAAAAGTAATTACTTTCTTTTTTATGGTTAATAAAATATACTTTCTATCTGTTTGAATATGTGACAAATTTTAGTCTCTATTTAGAAAATTACATTTTTTAAACAATGCATTTTAAGAATTTAAATTATTTCATTTATTTAAAATTTTTATTATACAACAATCCACAAAGTAGATTATTATTATTGTTATTATTATTATTATTATTATTATTAAAAATACAGAAATATTGCTACTGTATTTTTCTGTTATTATTATTGTGATTTTTAACTAATAAAAAAATATTTTATTTATTTCTAATTTTAATAAACTTGTAATTCTATAATAATACTTAATTCACATTTGTCTGAAATTTATTTTCAGTTTTATTATTAATAATTATTGATGACAGGGAAAAATAATAATTTTTAACAGTTACAGAATAAAACTACAAATCGATCTTTACATTTAGTTTGTCAAACTCGAATACTACAGGGATCAGATATTTTTAATTGTAAAAAAACAAATGTGGAATTAAATTTTATTCGTCATGCAAGTAATAAAGAGATTAATGATCCTTTTGGTTTCATACCTGAAGCACCAGGTGAGAATAATATAGAAATTTTTTTATCTTGTCTATATAAATATGTTAATATATAAAATAAATTTTTTAGCTCCTGAAATAATCAATGTACCTGTAGTAGCTGAAAATGTTAGTGAACTTGCAAGTGCTGGTCTAGGAAATCTATGGACACCATCAGGTCTTGTGCAAAATGCCTTAGAATTATTACACTCTACTGTAGGACTTCCTTGGTGGGGCTCCATAATCGCATGTAAATTTTCAAATTCTTTTTTTCGATTAAAGAAAATTATCATTTTTATCATAAAATGTAATGTTCATATTTTTGATTTAGAAAAAGATTGGTGAAATTTCTTTTTATTCTTTTAGTGACTGTTGTGGTAAGACTAGTGTGTTTTCCACTCATCATAAAGGCTCAAAAAAAATCAGCACAAATGATGGAATATATGCCAGAAGTTCGCGAATTACAAAATAAATTGTCAAGAGCTCGACAAGCTGGAGATCAAATTGCAGGTGAATTTTAAAATAAAATTTTTCTATTGTTTTGTCTTTCATATAAATTATATGTCAATAATAATAAAACAAATAAATTTTTCTTTCAGTTGAGCGATACTTGCAAGAATTAACAGTAAAGATGTCTGGTAGAGAAATGGAGCCATTTAAAGCCCTTGGTCCATCTTTGGCACAAGTATGTAATTATAAAAAAAAAAAAAAAAACAATGTACATTAACGTAATGTAAATACTTGTCAATTTTTAGGGATTAATTGTTTGCTCAGTTTTTTTCGCTTTACGAGATATGGCAGCCGCTCCTTTACAAAGTATGGAAACAGGAGGCATATTATGGTTCACAAATCTTTGTGTTCCTGATCCTCATTGGTTATTGCCTTTGATGAGTTGTGGAACATTGTTTCTTCTAATAAAAAACTCTACAAAACAATTGCCATATGACGAAAAAACAATGAAAATTATGTGTGCAGTTTTTCCCATTGGAACTTTCTTATTTATTAAGTCATTTCCAGCGGTATGTGAATTTTATTTATTTTTAATTTTCTGATTATCTTTCCTTTTATTTTTTTGTAGTTTCATCGTAATTTTATTGTAATTACAAAAATTTAAAGTTCAATTTTTTTTACTCGATAAAAAGAAATAATTTGGCATTTTTTTTTTGTTATTAAATAAAAATGTCTTATATTTTTAGAGTGTTCTTGTGTACTGGGTAACGACAAATACTATTACACTTTTACAACATTATCTTTTAAACATGCCTCAAGTTAAAAGTTACTTTAATCTTCCCGATCTGAAAAAGCTTCCAAAAAATGTAAACAATTCTGACAATTTTCTAGAAAGTTTCCGTGAAAGTAAGTTCATAATGAAATTATTATTTCATATTAATAAATTTATTGAAAATAATTTTGTTACTATAATAATAATCGATTTGAATTTAATATTTTTTAGATATATCAAATATTAAACTATCAAAACAATATCAAGAAAGAATTGCACTTCAAAAATTAGAAAAAGATCGTTTCCAAATGCAAATGACACAAAAAGGCAGAAGTAAAGTTCCTCAAGATGTAAGGAAGAAAAAAAATGTAGATAAATTATAAAAATTGTATTTTTATGATTCGTTATATAAATTAGAAATTAATAAAAAAATATTTAAAATTTTAATACTTGTTTTATTTTAACGTAACATTGTTAAAGTTTTTTTACCACTTAAAATAATAATTACAAGACTCGTTATATTTCTATTTGTATACACTGATTAATTACTTTAAGAAGATGATTATTTTCCAGTGCAGCTGCAACACGTTCCTTATCAGCGAGTTGTTTATTTATTGCAAATTCGGAACTGTGAGTTCCAGGTGTAATTTCAACTGTAACTTTAAATCTTGCAGGTAATGCGCGTAAAAGTTGAACTCGTATTGAGAGGCCAATTAATGTTGCCATACTACAGTGGGGAATTGTTGGAGTGAATTTTACCAAAATTGCATTCTTTTTATTGTCCACCTGTGAATAATTTTTTTGTTTCATTTCAAAAAAAAAAGAAGATAAATTCATTATTTACTTATTAAAATTTGTCATATTGTTTACAGATAATATGTATGTTCTCACTTCAATAAGATCTTCTTCAACGACTTTCAATTCCTCGAGGGTTAAAGGATGTTCTGGATCATTAATGTTCCTGACGATATCTATAGGAAGCGATACATATAATTCATAATGATAATAATAAAGGTAAAATTTTTAAATTATCAAATAGTAAAGAAATAATTTAATTAAGATTTTTTTAAATTGTCTCGATAAATAATAAACATACAGATTACAGATTTTAATTTAAAATTTATTAAGAATATAAGATTATCAAAAGAAACAAAAATTGCAGAAATTTTAGGCTAAAGCGGAATTAATAAACTAATAAAATATTAAAAATTAAATTAATTTTAATAACACTAAGGTTTCAATTATATTTAATTTATGAATAGCCTTTTAAATGTTAACTTAGTTGTCACTAATGTTAATTAATTATTTTAATCTTATTTTCAAAAAAAATATATTACCAAAAATTTCACGTGCATCGAATTCGTCAACAACATCTTCGTTTTCTTCGTCAGCTGTCACTTTTCTCTCATCGACTTTTTTATATAATGTAGGGTTAACATTTTCTAATTGGTCTACATTATTTTGATCACCCGAATAAACAAAATAATTATTCATGATATAATGTCAAATTTAAAAAAAAACGCACTTTATTACGCAATTTCGATAATAATTTTTCAAGTTAAAGGTTATGTTTATTGTTAAAATGTCAAAAGCATGATAAATTACCACACGTAAGTTACTCAGTTTCTTTGATTGGCTCTAATCAGATGGTTGCTAGGCAACATTGGAAAAAGCGGTAAATTTTAAAACTGCGCTTTTATATACTACCTGTGTTTTTTTTAAATTAATTAACGGGTGTATTTTGGAATGACACGTCTGTAAAAAATAATCATTAATTCTTAAAGTCAAAGTGCTTATACTTCAAATGTCGAAAAAGGAATATTAATCGAATTTTTGTACTTTCATAATTGAAATTAAAATAAAATCATACGACGAAAGGAAGTAAATTCAAATACGTTTTACATACTACTTCGTGCGTTTTACATACCCGTCAGGTACTGTCTTCTAGCGGCAATTTTTTGTACTACATATTTGTTTAAAGGTTTGTTATTTTGCTTCCTGTTGTTGTATATGGAATTGTCAAAGAATCTATAATTTCTTGAATACAAATAAAAAAAAAGAAATTAAGGATCACTGATATTTTTTTCAGTTTAATACAGTTTTTTATTTTAAGTCATCAGTAATCAAAAATTCCAAGAAAAATTTTTGTATGTAAAACTTTGTTCGCGTATCACAGTTAAAAACGGTTCAACCAAATCAAAATTTGTGAATCTATTAAAGGTTCTATTTGAAAATCGTTAATTGACAATTAAAAAATTATCCATTGTTTCTGAGAATTAGCTATAATTCTTTTTCATGGGTTAAAAGAATAAAAAATCAATTACACTCGCAAATTTAATTAGGGGTGTTTGAAATTTTTGTCGTCAGAGTGGTATGTATTATTAAATATAATGTAATTTTTTTGATGTGTTAATTTGTTTTTATTGAAAAACATTTTGTAAAGCTTAGAAAAACAAGTCGTATTGGAAATTAAAATTTATAAAGCTAAGTCGCTTAATTAAATTGTAGTTTGGTGTTAAATATATACAAGTATAATTAAAAGTAATTATTTATCGAACAATTTGGTTAATTTAATTTTATATAATTTGACCACACGCAGTAAGGAGTTTTAAGGAGTGCGATGAGAATTTGCCTTATAATATGAGTCAAGGCTGTCGAAAGACCCTTACCTAGATTTTCCATATATGGTGCAGATTCGTACCGCCAACTTCTGTTTTGTGTAGCATTATTCAATTTTACGCAACACACCTTAAGATCTTAATTGGAAAATTGTATAAACTTTAAATTAACTCATTATTCTAATTAGAGTTTAATTTTTTTTTATACACAAGAAAGTAATTAAAAATTTACTACAATTTGAGTTTACACTAACTTTTTTTTGCGAATATTATATACGTAACGTTCAAAATTCAATCAGGAAATATAAATATAATTTAACAACAAATAAATAGTATAGAAGTGAAAAATTAATTAAATTTTCAATTATATTTTTGTTATTTATTTTTTTAGTTCATCGTAAACGTATTTTAATCTTTTAAATAATTTAATAATAATTAAAAATTTAGTTGTATTTTTTATTGTTAAACCTATTTTATTGAAAAAGAAAGAAAAGTTAAAAAAAAAAATTGAAAAGTTATCAGTTTAATAATCTTTTTCAAAAGTAATCTCTCGAACGTGTACTTTTAATAAACACAGTCGATGGATAAAAGAAAAATATTTTTTTTCACTGCTAAATTATTGTTTAATTTTAACGTTAATTATAAATCATAACTAAATTTTATATATTTATCTTAGAAGATTAAATCCAATAATAAATCTTTTGACTTTTAAGGTACGAAAGTAGAAAAGTTGACCAACTCATGCTGTTGTGAGACCTTGACATATATTAATCAAGGAGATTGTCAAAGGAATCCGTACATTGGAGTTGAATCTCAAAATTAATGATAAGTTTCATTAAAGAAAAAAATGTGCCCACCTTCCTTGAAGTTACTTCCTTTAATGATGTCTCATCCAGGAGAAAATTTGATGAACTTTAAAATCCCGATGACTTTTCGTAAGTGTATAAAAAAAAGTTTTTATTCTAATCGATTATAATTTATTTGAATTAAATAAATTTAATTTTTAACTCAGAACTAATTATTTATTTAGCTCCAAGGAAAATATTTTCTTTTTCTCTGAATACATTTTAGTAGAATTTTTAATTGACTTATTGATTTAAAATTTTCTTTCGAAATTTTTGCAAAAATTTAGCAATTTTTTAGTGCAATAAAATATTTTTAACACGAAGAACTTGAAATGCTTTGAATCAAAGAAAGTTTTTGGTAAATTAAATAAATGTGAAGAAAACAACGTGAAATGAAATAATAAAATTCAACCAAATTTTCCGGTAAATTTTCTACATCTCTAATATATATGAGGATTCTATTTTTAAAAATTCGAATTCAAAAATAAAATCACTATTATAGAAAGACTTGTAAAACACTTTTTTTTCTATTTCTTCTACTGATTTATTGACATATCGTTTTCTTTATTTCTGTGCCCATAATAATTATTTTTATTATATCATTTAAATTCCTTAATATTATGTCTAATTGATGTACAGAATTTTCAGAACGATTTATACAATGGGATAAAGTTTTAATTTTTAGATGTTCCATTTTTCTTATTCTAACGACAATTCTTTTTTTTTTCCTAGGATGTCGTTTGGATCCATATAATATTTCTTCACACAGAAAGAGACGTGTCTCTTTTAACTTAAAAACGTCCGTTCTTTTGGTAGTCGGGAATCTAAAGATACCCTCGGACCGTGGCATTTCTAGATCTGCCGTGGATCAGGGTTTGAAGAGCGGGGCATTGTCGACGCTTTGGTGATTTTCTTAAAGCGTCCTCAAAAGAAGAAGGGAGATTGCCGAAAGCTTCTCAACTCTACCAGTCCTGACTTAACCCACAAGTCGGTAACATCGACCGTCAGTTGACGACGATTCTTTTTCGAGTACTTGCGTGAGTACATTTCTTGTATTTTGTTTGTTTTTTTTTATTTTAAAGAAAAAAATAAGAGATTTTTACGAATTAAAAAAAAAAAAGAAAAGTGTTCGCGATTTATTATTTTGGAAACTTGTGGAGTGATTATTTAATATTCATAGTGAATTTATTGTTTTTTTGATGATTTTTTTCGTGAAAACAAAATTTTTTGGTGTTGGATCAAAGTTCATTTATAGTAAAATCTGTCAATGATTATGACAAATTATTAAAATCAAGTTTTAGTTCGTGCAAAGCGTTCAATTTATTTTGATTATTATTTTACAAACGGGAAAATAATTTTAATTGATTATTATCTTTTGGCTTATGACATTTTTTTTTTTGAAGCAATTTTTTATTTAAATTTTGGAATTTATGTATGAATTATTTTTTAAAGTTTAAAATTATTAATTCGATTTATATTGAATTTGGTAATTTTTTTTGTTATTTAAATTAGTTGCTTTTGAATTTTTTTTTTAATTTTCAAGTAGTTTTGCATTAAAATTTTACAGTAGTTTTATAATTAATTTTTCTAGTGTTTTATAATTTAAATATTTTAATTAGTTTTGTATTAAAAGTTTTTAATTACTTTTGTATAAAAATTTTTAGATTTCATATTTAATTTTCTAGTGATATCGTAAAAAAATTTGCTTTAATAGTAAGTGAATGATTTAATGATTACATTTTGAGAATAGAAAAGGAATTCAAACATTTGGAGAAATAAAAGAAGGAAGTGACGTCTTTGATGCGAAAGACTTCCTCTTTTGAATCTATAAATTGTTTGCTGTTTAATGTCAATTAAATTATTTAAAAATTTCCTTTTTTTATAAAGACATACAGACAAAATAATATTTAATTTAAAAAAAATTAATGTTAACTTCATAAAGTTGGAACAATAATTAAAATAAAATAAATTTTTAATAATATTATTAATTATCAATTAAATTAGTCACAAATAATTCAAATTAATTTTAATTTTTACGAAAATTTAGTACTGTAAATGATAAAAAGTACAGCCCTGACATGTTTCCTATTTATAAAATTTCAATGAGGTCAACTTTTGAAAATTCGAAATTCTTTCAAAGCATGTTTGCAATAACTATTTCATTTTTTTCTAAAAATAATAAAATACTTTTAAACTTTAAAATGAGAATTAAAAATATATTTTGTAAACAAACGAATTTATCAAGTTAATTGATGAAAAATAAGAAATATTTTTCAAACAATAAATAATAATTATTAAATGTCAAATTAAATAATAGGATTAAATAATATGAAACTATAGTTGTTCTTTTAAAACTTGTGTTATAAGTCCATTTTTTGGATGCAGCCCAAAAATGGATAGCAAGCAGGAAATGAGTTTTAAAGATCTGACTGCTCGTAAAAGAAATAGAAAATTTAATTTTTCGAAATTTACTTTACTTTTTTTTAAAAAATATAAATAAAAAAAAAAGTAAAATAACAAATGAAAATTGTTTCTAATTTTGACAAATTTTATTGAAGATTATCTTAAAATCTCTAGAACCAACTGTTACGAAAATTTTCAAACTATTGACTTATTATTATTATTTACAGAAAAATTTTTTTTTACTATTATTTACATTATTATTTATTTACAGAAGTTACTCTCGAATTTTTTATTATTATTATAAAGTTATTTGAGAATTTACAATTTTGTATACAACAAAAAACAATTTTGAAATAAATTTTTTTTTTATTAGTCTCATTTTACAAATATTAAAAAACCAGACTTCTGTTTGAAATAAATTTTATAGTATATTTTCAAAACTTATATTTATTAACTTTAATATTCATTAAGTAATTTTTGAAATTTATTTTAATCAATTAGATATTAGTTATTTTACTAAATTTACAAACCTCGTAATTTAATCAATTTTTATATTAATTAAATTTGAACTTTAATATTTTAATTTGAAATGAAGGAACAAAAGTTTAATATGCAAAAATGAAGAGTTAAATATTCTTAAGTGACAGTTTAAAAAATCTAAATATCTCAAGTCAAATAAAAAAAAAGAGGAATCTGATATGAGCGCACTAATATTTCTGTAAACAAATAACTGAGTTAT